CTATAAAGAGTTGTGCATCCATCTTGATCAAATAAGCACGACAGATAATATTCAACTAGAAAGTCCTTCAACTCTACTCAGATGTGTTCCAGTGAAAAATGAAAAATACAATAGAAGTAGAACGGAATCTTTCTCGTCATTACAATATAAAAAATTGAAGCGTTGTATTATTTCAGACCTCAAAATTTCTGTATTAGATGTAAAACACCAACCTGTACATATAGGATACTTAAGTGTAACACTCCATATTAAAAATAATGGTTGATGCATCAGGCCCTGGAACGCTCAGACAATGTAATACAATTGCGCTTTCCGATCTCGGAGACACAGAAGGATTTGATAAACCCGGTAACAATGGTAAGTTATACGCTTTACACTTACATGATAATGTATACAAGCGGAAAGAAGTCACATTCACGGGTAATCTAGAAGATTTAAGCGATGTCGACGTTAGTAGACTCATTAAAAACACTTCGTACAATATCATTCTCAACGGTGAGAATAAATGGACTATGGTCGAAGCAAACATCGAGTGGCTACTGAATATCGTCATTACCCCACCTTATGTGATGATGGGTAAGGGACATAATTTCACCAAGATGATAAATAGTGGCATCGTACTCGCGGCTTATATCCCATCAAAACGAAAAAGTGTGTTAGTCACTCCCCTGCCAGAAAACCCAGGGCATATGTTATATAGTCGTCCGGCAATCCAAAACGTTAGTTTAAATTTGGTTACTGAATTCGATGATATTAAACAGAACTTGAGTGCAATACCTTATATTTCTACTCTTATTATTGAAGCCTTGTTCGGAGATGCACCGGAAAATGCCTTCGAAATATTACCAGGTCTATCGATTAAATGGCTAAAGAAACACCAACGTCGACGTTGCAGTATTATTCATATCGGAGCATCACCTGTTGCAACCCTCGAGGGGGTCCAAATTATTAAAAGTGACAGCATTTCTCTTTCTAAGATATTCTTGCCGTATAATATACATTTGATAAGGTTGATGTATAGTCTCAAAACATTTAAGCAAGACCAATTAAAGACTATTATATGATCGTAATATACACTATGAGTTTATATCCAGCGCTCGATGAAGCATTTGAAAAGATGGATACTGTTGATGGATTTCGATTACATCAAATAAGCGACATAAAACATCGAATAGAGAAGGATAGTACGATAGTATTCGGATACTCGCCGAAGCAAAGTTGAACAGCATTGAGGATCATATTTCGACAGCAATGGTCGATTGTAAGATATCCGAGGATGAGTTTCGTTTAGTGTTGTCGGAGCTCACCAAATACAATGAAATGAAGCAGGAGATTCGATCAAAATCTCATAAGACCAGTGGTATTAGCGAAGACGAGAAAAAAAAGTTCATAGAACAGGGGAGACAACAAGCGCGTCAATTATTCCGTGCCAAAACCAAAGAACTGGTTGGAGATTAAAAATAGATTGCTTACTATCGTTTGATCACATTTAGACAAATGCTTACATACATATATATAATAATGGAGATCGAAAAAGCTATTAAATGGAGAGAATTACCACAAGGTTTTTATTATATCAGTGATGTCAACCAACCAAATACGGTTATCAATTGTTTCTTATCAATTTACAAGAAGAGTGTAATTATATAGTCTGGTCTCCTAGTAAAATGAACGAAGAACTTAATAAAAATGTTGAATATCGCTTTATCGATAAAAATAATAAAGAATATTTTTATTACCATTTAGGCTCATCTAAAGCAATGATTGGCCCCAGGTATTGGTGAGCTAGAGTCAATTTAACTTAATCTTATGACTATCATTGAATTGCATAGTCATTTACACATAAAAAATTCCCTCTGTAGTGGTGGTATAGGTATATGAATCCGGCTCCAGTGAAGTTGCGGCAGAACCCCCATTACCTATAAAAATTTATATCATAGAAGCATTGATAGGTTTGAAAATGGCTCCAAGTGGTGGTGAGCTAGAGCCATTTTCATTACAATTTAGTTTAATCCAGGGGTCCGGAAAATTTAAAATCCCAATCGGACATTTGCATTTAGGCCACGCCCCCTTCAAATAGCGTATTTTAGTACGACTTTTCACACACATTACAAGTTTAAGTATTCATAATATGATGAATTATGAATTGTTTCAATTTAAATTGTTTAATTCACCGGACAATTAATAACAAATAATATCATTTTAGATTTACATGGAAAACATACGTTTGTTTCTGTTATAATAACGGTCTGTTAACGTAGTGAACGGTCTAATTAATATTCATGAGTCATATTCATGAGTCTGCTCAAGTGTACGCGTTGTAACATTTGGATCGAGACTATTATCCCATATTTGGTTATCACGTGACCTCACGGGAAAAGTTTTTTTTAAACTAAAGATTTTCTTAAAAACAAGACAGATAATTTAATCACAAATACTAAAATATCGTTGATAGCAATAGTTATTTGAATACTTTTTTCATCTGTACTTAATTATTGACCATAAAAAAATTGGATATATCGATCGTCCGAGAAAGCAAAATGGCGGTCAATCAAGATTCAATATACGACTAGCTACTGAAAACAATAAAATCTGCAAATCCTCATTGTATGTCAACCAAGTGAAAGTCGTTAGCCACGACTTACTAAATGATCGTCCAGACTTTGAGGGTTTGGCAGATCCGCTCGACTGATCTGCATCGGTCGACTGGCTGTCGTCACGCTTTCGCTTCTTGTCTGAGGTTACGTATCGTAGCATTGTGAGGATAATGAGGTACATCGATGATGCAAGGTATTAATGTACAGTTGTAAACACCTTTCACTCAAATTAACAAGATGTTCTCAGTAATTAATCCTCGATTAATCAGTGTCAACTCAGTTTATTGCCTATTACAGTGATTGACCGATTGGACTATCATGTAGGTACGATGTATTTTCAGCAATCAAAACAAACAAAGCTTGTCAGTGTAGTTAATCTTCATTGTGTTGCAACTGCAGACAGAAACTGCTCAGTCCTAACTGTTGATCATGTCCGGTCAAAATTTAAGAATGTCCGGACAATACTTTTTAAAATGTCCGGTAAGCAATATTTTAAAACGGACATTTGAGATTCCCAATCGGACATGTCCGGCGCATATGACGGTTTCCGGACCCCTGGTTTAATCTCATGACTATCGTTGAATCGCATAGTCATTTACACATAAAAACTTCCATCTGTAGTAGCAGTATAGGTATATAAATCTGGCTCCAGTGGAGTTGCGGCAGAACCTCCATTACCTATACTACTCCATGTGCCTCATCCAACACTGCCTTCTCACCATGTGCCTCACCCAACACTGCCTTCTCACCATGTGCCTCAACCAACACTGCCTTCTCACCATGTGCTCCGCCCACAACTGCCTTCTCACCATGTGCCCAATCCAACACTGCTTTCTCACCATGTGCTCCACCCACAACTGCCTTCTCACCATGTGCCCCGCCCAACACTGCCTTCTCACCATGTGCTCCACCGAACACTGCCTTCTCACCATGTGCCTCACCCAACACTGCCTTCTCACCATGTGCCTCACCCAACACTGCCTTCTCACCATGTGCCTCACCCAACACTGCCTTCTCACCATGTGCCCCACCCTACACTGCCTTCTCACCCTGACCATTACCATTTCTGCATACCATGTGTCCCAGCCTGACATTAGCATCTCTACATACCAAGTGTCCTGGTCTGACATTAGCATCTCTACATACCATGTGTCCCAGCCTGACATTAGCATCGCTACATACCATGTGTCCTGGACTGACGTTACAATCTCTACATACCATGTGTCCCAGCCTGACATTACCATCTCTACATACCATGTGTCCCAGCCTGACATTACCATCTTTACATACCATGTGTCCCAGCCTGACATTACCATCTCTACATACCATGTGTCCCAGCCTGACATTAGCATCTCTACATACCATGTGTCCCAGCCTGACATTACCATCTATACATACCATGTGTCCCAGCCTGACATTACCATCTCTACATACCATGTGTCCCAGCCTGACATTAGCATCTCTACATACCATGTGTCCTGGACTGACATTAGCATCGCTACATACCATGTGTCCCAGCCTGACATTAGCATCTTTACATACCATGTGTCCCAGCCTGACATTAGCATCTCTACATACCATGTGTCCTGGACTGACATAAGCATCTCTACAAACCATGTGTCCCAGCCTGACATTACCATCTCTACATACCATGTGTCCCAGCCTGACATTAGCATCTCTACATACCATGTGTCCCAGCCTGACATTAGCATCTCTACATACCATGTGTCCTGGACTGACATTAGCATCGCTACATACCATGTGTCCCAGCCTGACATTAGCATCTATACATACCATGTGTCCCAGCCTGACATTAGCATCTCTACATACCATGTGTCCCAGCCTGACATTACCATCTTTACATACCATGTGTCCCAGCCTGACATTAGCATCTCTACATACCATGTGTCCTGGACTGACATTAGCATCTCTACATACCATGTGTCCTGGACTGACATAAGCATCTCTACATACCATGTGTCCTGGACTGACATTAGCATCTATACATACCATGTGTCCTGGACTGACATTAGCATCTCTACATACCATGTGTCCTGGACTGACGTTAGCATCTATACATACCATGTGTCCCAGCCTGACATTAGCATCTCTACATACCATGTGTCCCAGCCTGACATTAGCATCTCTACATACCATGTGTCCCAGCCTGACATTACCATCTCTACATACCATGTGTCCCAGCCTGACATTAGCATCTCTACATACCATGTGTCCCAGCCTGACATTACCATCTCTACAAACCATGTGTCCCAGCCTGACATTACCATCTATACATACCATGTGTCCCAGCCTGACATTACCATCTCTACATACCATGTGTCCCAGCCTGACATTACCATCTATACATACCATGTGTCCTGGTCTGACACCATCTCTACATACCATGTGTCCCAGCCTGACATTAGCATCATGACTGAACTCCTCCACCAGTGAGTGGTAATGAGTTGAGAAGAGTGTACGACAATTGACACCCTTGGACAACTCCTGCACGACAGAGCAGGCAATGGCAGTGCCATCGTATGTTGCTGTGCCTCGACCTGTGTAAAGACAAATACATAGTTACAGACACATTGCCACAAGGCTGTGGAGCTCACATGAAGTTTTTGGATATCATAAGAGATCAGAAAGGGCAAACAAGGAAAAGCAATATCAATAAAAGTGGTCTCTATGCAACAGACACCCTCACAACATGTTCAGTAAATTAAACAATAGTATATCCTTAACTGGACATTTTTGGGGTCAAAATTACACATTCATCTTGACTGCCATCAGACTGTTTGTTTATTTCAGAATTAGCATTCACTTTGTGTGAGTTCATACTCTAATGAACTCGCACAAAGTGAAAATCAATTCTTATAGTTTTTTTGTGTCACTATTTTTACCTCAAAGGACATAGACCTTGATCTATACACAATTATATTTAGTATGTGTGACTTAATGTTCATACTGACAGCCATACAACAACCAGCTGTATCGCGGAATAAAATAGTTCCTCAAAACAAAAGGTGACATGAGTTTATGTATGCTCAACAGGGACAACTTTTGTAGTATCTGTAAAGAAATGTGCTCAAATAATATCCTCATTAGATGAGAAAGGTCTCTTAAGAACTACCTAAGTGAGTCAGTCACAATGACAGCACATCATAATATATTTACATCAAGTACAAGATGTCAAAATGACAGACACGATAAACGATAGAGTTGTTAATGACCTGTTTTAGTCATCATTGATCAACTGGCCGATCACTGAAAGGTGATAAAAGATGGGTCAAATAGACACTAAGGTAAATTCATAGATTGTTGTAGGCTGTCACTGTCAGCCTCATCACGGATCGAGTTGATACTACGATAGTTTGGAAGTGCATTTCTTCAATTTGTTCATTAGGAGGGGTCGTAGCAAGGATATTCGTGAACAATCATGCAGTCAAATTCTCTGATGTTTCTTAATGTTTACTGAAATGCTGAGTTCAAGATTAAAGGATCTAAATGTTCAGAAATGACGCTTCTGTATGTATTCATTCTAAGGAATTCCCAGGGGTTTCCCCAGGAATGTGGAAGTAGTCCATCAGGGTTTACGTCGTTTCAAGAACGCGGTCGCGCGAAAAAACGTATGAACGTCAATTTTAGCAGTCATATGACCGACCTCTCGTCCAATGGAAAAGCTGTTTATCGTGTAAACTTCAAATTAAAAAATTATTTGTTGTTTAACGCCACACTCAGCAATATTCCAGTTATATTATGGCGGTCTGTAAATTGGCGGACAAGACAATCCAGTGATTGATATCATGAGCATTGATCGACGCAATACAGATACGAGATATGCATCAACCAAGTCTGTGAGCCTGACCACCTGATCCCATTAGTCGCCTCTTACGACAAGCATAGATGCCACTTATGACAAGGATGGGTTGCTGAAGACGCATTCTAGCCCGGATCTTCATGGGTGGCTATTGCACTGGGCAGGCAAAGTGGAACATGAAGGTCAAAGGTGAAGGTCATTCCACATCCAACCAATAATATGTGTTCCTCTGTCATTAAAGCACCGGAAACAGAATATCTATATCATACATCTCAATTCACTTTCACCACATAATTAACTTGCATTAAATGTGCTGCTCACCTAGCTCATCCATGAGGACAAGAGAGTGCTTGCTGGCATGTTGTAAGATGGCTGATGTCTCACTCAGTTCAACAAAGAACGTGCTCTCACCTAAATCAATACAGAAAGTTATAGTACAGATAAAGTTAAAAAGTTAATATTTGTTGTTTATTAACACATACCGTATATGACCGCGGATAAGCCGACCCCGTAGATAAGCCGAGGTGTTAACTTGACCATTGAAATACGAAAGAAAATGATATGACCCGCAGATAAGCCGAACCAGCAATTGAAAGGCAAAAAACACTGCGAAGTCGGACTGCAAGACATGTGCCGGTACTCGCAGATATTCAAAAATATAAGATGAAAAACGTTGTAATTATATTGAAAAAGTCATTATTATTTCTAATAAAGATTTAACAAACCAGTCATCCACTTTCATAAAGTGGAAAGCTGTTTCTCGTGGGTTTTTTTAATCTCATAATGATCGTTATATGTTGCCATCAACAACGAAGCGCCATTTTGTGAATCGGTGTATATAGAATTATGAACCCGTGAGAAAATATATCGGCTAGAGCGAAGACTCGCAGTTTGAATTCAGCATCGTAAGCATGGCGTTTTTGTTTCAAACTCATGATGAGAATGTCAGTCAGTAAAAATACCAACTTTTATAACCCCCTTTATACCACTATTGTATGTTAATCCAATTGAATTAAATAAACTATCATACTATGAACACATTGAATGACCATCACTTACTCACAGGCTTCTCCAGTTTATTAAACTAATCTCTTGAAAACAAAGGAATAAAGCCCCTACTCCCAACACGATACCAATCGGCCCCTTATTATCAATGCTCATTTCCTTGTGTACCGTGTTGCTTTTTAAACAACAGGAAGCAATCACAGTGGTCACCGTTTGTGACGTCACAGGAAACAGCTGATCACATGTTTTTGCAAATGGCGAACGGAATAACTCGACGATACAGTTGTTTATTTGCCTCTTTCAATAAAGGTAGACACTTGTTCACTATCAATTTATGAACTTTGCAAAATGTACGTAATAGCTATTGGCGATTTCATCTGGGGATTATATATTATAGCTGTGAATTACATATATTGTTACATGTAAAGATCGCGGAGTTTAGAAGAACGATAAACTTTGAACATTCAATTGAAAACTTATTATCGGAAGTAGTAACATGCATAACATTTTTTTAATAATGACAACATTGGTGTATAATAATAACTTTATTGATAATTTATAACAATAATGGCTCTAGTCATGGCAACTTCCAAACTTTCGGGAAGTTGTAATCTATCGGACCGTCATTCAGGCGATGTTTCTGACAGATCACGATCTGAAAAATACTATCATGAAAGCGTATCCCGTGGATAAGCCGACCCCTTTCTACAGAATCTTTTTTTCTGGTCCTCAAAATTCGGCTTATACGCGGTCATATACGGTATGCATCTTTGATATTCGCACAGTTGATTGGTGGGTGGGTGGGTGGGTGCGTGCGTGCGTGCGCTATTACAGCGGCCTGAACACTGCAATATACTGTAAAGCTTGAAATTAATGTGTCTCCAAATTAATAGGACTGCTGATCACTAGCCAATATTGTGACTCAATATCAGTGCGACTCCCTCCACCCCATCCCCAGTGGAATGATACATATCCCACCTTAATCCAATCAAACACCAAATAGCGCCACTTTTTACCACTGAGTAAAGCCGTCTGTAAGGCTAAAAAAAAAATCTTGGTTCTCAGGCACCGCCACATCCTCATAAAGTTCGCCGCACGTTTTGTTTTTATATCCATTTTTAAAAAAATATAAAAATAAATTTCCTTAAATGTTCCGCATCTCGAACACACGACCTCAACTGTGAAATGCTACAATACTTAAAAACAATGCGATCTAATATAACATGCAGTTACTTCCCTTCTCATGCGCACTGCTTTACTGCGCATCTCGTGTGTTATGGTCATGGCGGCAGTAGGAGTTTGTGTGCTTGCTGTTTGCAAATTTAGTCAATGAAAATTAAATTTGCGATACAACATCACTAGACATGGTGATGTTATTTGTGTACTGTATGAGGGACAATGTTTCATACGCAGAGGTTATTTGTCTCGTAAAATAAGCGGGTAATCGATGCTAATTTATACACCCCGGCTATAAAGCGAATCTGAATAAAGCACATCACTAGTGCATACAAAATCTCTACATTTGCAATAAAATGTGTTTGTCTTCCGCAGAAAAAAAATTACATCATAGCCCTTCAGCAAATTCAGGGAAATGGAACAGATTATATCAATTAAACCATAAAATACTCAACCCTGTGTATAAGACGACCCCAAGCCCTCCTAATTCTAGTTATGAAAAACACGTGTGTCACTATCAACAGGCGAACCCATTCAACAGAGTGTGTCACTATCAACAGGCGAACCCATTCAACAGGGTGTGTCACTATCAACAGGCGAACCCATTCCACAGAGTGTATCACTATCAACAAGCAAACCCATTTAACAGTATGTCACTGTCAACAGGCAAACCCATTCCACAGAGTGTGTCACTATCGACAGGTGAACCCATTCCACAGAGTGTATCTCTTACCATGCATCTGCTTGCGAACCCATTCCACAGAGTGCGTCACTTACCATGCATCTGCTGGCGGACCCATTCCACAGAGTGTATCACTTACCATGCATCTGCTGGCGAACCCATTCCACAGAGTGTGTCACTATCTACAGGCGAACCCATTCCACAGAGTGCGTCACTTACCATGCATCTGCTGGCGAACCCATTCCACAGAGTGTGTCACTATCTACAGGCGAACCCATTCCACAGAGTGCGTCACTTACCATGCATCTGCTGGCGGACCCATTACACAGAGTGTATCACTTACCATGCATCTGCAGGCGAACCCATTCCACAGAGTGTATCACTTACCATGCATCTGCTGGCGAACCCATTCCACAGAGTGTGTCACTATCTACAGGCGAACCCATTCCACAGAGTGCGTCACTTACCATGCATCTGCTGGCGAACCCATTCCACAGAGTGTGTCACTATCTACAGGCGAACCCATTCCACAGAGTGTATCACTTACCATGCATCTGCTTGCGAACCCATTCCACAGAGTGTGTCACTATCTACAGGCGAACCCATTCCACAGAGTGTATCACTTACCATGCATCTGCTTGCGAACCCATTCCACAGAGTGTGTCACTATCTACAGGCGAACCCATTCCACAGAGTGTATCACTTACCATGCATCTGCTTGCGAACCCATTCCACAGAGTGTGTCACTATCTACAGGCGAACCCATTCCACAGAGTGTATCACTTACCATGCATCTGCTTGCGAACCCATTCCACAGAGTGTGTCACTATCTACAGGCGAACCCATTCCACAGAGTGTGTCACTATCTACAGGCGAACCCATTCCACAGAGTGTATCACTTACCATGCATCTGCTTGCGAACCCATTCCACAGAGTGTGTCACTATCTACAGGCGAACCCATTCCACAGAGTGTATCACTTACCATGCATCTGCTTGCGAACCCATTCCACAGAGTGTGTCACTATCTACAGGCGAACCCATTCCACAGAGTGTGTCACTATCTACAGGCGAACCCATTCCACAGAGTGTATCACTTACCATGCATCTGCTTGCGCACCCATTCCACAGAGTGCGTCACTTACCATGAATCTGCTTGCGAACCCATTCCACAGAGTGCGTCACTTACCATGCATCTGCTGGCGAACCCATTCCACAGAGTGTGTCACTATCAACAGGAGAACCCATTCCAGAGGGTGTGTCACTATCAACAGGCGAACCCATTCAACAGAGTGTGTCACTATCAACAGGCGAACCCATTCAACAGGGTGTGTCACTATCAACAGGCGAACCCATTCCACAGAGTGTGTCACTGTCAACAGGCAACCCATTCCACATAGTGTGTCACTATCAACAGGCGAACCCATTCAACAGAGTGTGTCACTATCAACAGGCGAACCCATTTAAGAGAGTGTCACTATCAACAGGCGAACCCATTCCACAGAGTGTATCACTTTCAACAGGCGAACCCATTCCACAGGGTGTGTCACTATCTACAGGCAAACCCATTCCACAGGCCGTGTCACTATCAACAGGTGAACCCATTCAACAGTGTGTGTCACTATCAACAGGCGAACCCATTCCACAGTGTGTCACTATCAACAGGCAAACCCATTCCACAGAGTGTGTCACTTTCAACAGGCGAACCCATTCCACAGGGTGTGTCACTATCTACAGGCAAACCCATTCCACAGGCCGTGTCACTATCAACAGGTGAACCCATTCAACAGTGTGTGTCACTATCAACAGGCGAACCCATTCCACAGAGTGTGTCACTTACCATGCATCTGCTGAAGAACCCATTCCACAGAGTGTGTCACTATCAACAGGCGAACCCATTCCACAGGCTGTGTCACTATCAACAGGTGAACCCATTCCAGAGGGTGTGTCACTATCAACAGGCGAACCCATTCAACAGAGTGTGTCACTATCAACAGGCGAACCCATTCAACAGGGTCTGTCACCATCAACAGGCGAACCCATTCCACAGAGTGTGTCACTGTCAACAGGCAAACCCATTCCACAGAGTGTGTCACTTTCAACAGGCGAACCCATTCCACAGGGTGTGTCACTATCTACAGGCAAACCCATTCAACAGAGTGTGTCACTTACCATGCATCTGCGGGCGAACCCATTCCACAGAGTGTGTCACTTACCATGAATCTGCTGGCGAACCCATTCCACAGAGTGTATCACTTACCATTCAACTGCTGGCGGATGATGAGATGAGATTTTGCAAATTTTCAGAGATATTTCGTCTTTACACAGTGGAAACTGTATTTGATTTTCAGTACTTGTGACTTGAATAATGTTACAAGATTATATGGATATATCCTTGTCTACGACAATATCGATAGTCTACTTTAGAAGAAATTACACTAATATTTATGTATTTCTGTTCATTATCAACTACAGTGATCGCTCGCTATTGGGCTCTTCGATAAAGCGCTACCTCGGTTACTACGTGCGGTATCGCATGGCTCCCAAAATTTATGTACACTTTTAATACTGAGAGTTTTACACAGCCGTGATTGTATTGTTGTTCGTTGTTCATTTGCACAGAACGCTTCTCATTGCAAAATCAACTGTTTATCGCTGAATGGAGTTCTAATAATCTGTTTGAAAACATCCGCAGCAAGTCCCGGAAATACGATTGTTCTGCTAGTTAACTTTTCACACTATACATTCTTTGATCTTAGAAGCGCATGCATGCAATAAAAGAGAACCACAAGCGAAGTTTATTTTCTTAATTAGTGGGCAATCCAATTGAGGCGACACTGTCAACTCACATGTAGTTGCTGTCACAACACGGCGGTCATTCCTTTTGATTCGGATCAAGTAACCGTATCAAACCAATTAATCTGGCTTGAATGTGTACCCCGGTATCTATATTTGCATGAGTGTGTATGAATGCGCATAGTGCTGGTCAAAACTCTTGTTTTCCGTATTTTAAGCAAAATGACCAATGAATGCCACTGAATCACTCTGTACTTGTGTAATGAATTGTGATTGGCTCTTCACTCATAGCGTCTGTTACTACCATTATCGATCGATATTTTCATGTAAGTAGACTACATTCACAATGAATGTGACAGTTAAGGCTTGTAAATAATAACAAACGGCGAAAACATAATGGATATATATTTTTACACTATGAACGGTAAACAACTTGTTTCATTGCAATGTGCGAGACAAGGCAAAGATCGTGATATTGGCCGAGCGCGCTCCCCCGTCTCGGCCTCGGTTAAACGGCTCATCGTCTATAACGCCCACCAATTATTTGGACCCCATTGGTAGCGTTGTAGCGAGGGACCACTGTATATAAGGAATCATTTGTGAGGACAATCATAGATCGTTTTAGGAGGCATGTTCATTTCATTGGCATGCAGGAGACAACAATCTGCAGTTATCAAATTTCGACAATGTGTGTTTTGATCACAGGAACTCGTTATTGGGTATTAAATAAAAATATATACCCCCTACTTACAAATAGGGGGTATATATTTTTATTTACTGACCAATAACGAGTTCCTGTGGTTTAGATCGTAACTTAACATATTATAGTCAAATTGATGAAATGAAATAGCGACCTTTTGTTGGCAAAAAATACATTCCAGTGTTTTCGTCAATTTTGCTGTCTTATTTCCATCTGTGGTGTGTCTCTGACTGTATCAAATTAAATCTTATCAATATGGACTTTTCATTTAATTAGTGACAGTTTAGTATAAGACGATTATTGCTCCAGGTTCGCCTTTTTGTTTAATTAGCACCAAGTCATTTATTTTCCGCAGAAGGCGGCATGTTTGCCATGTGCAGCAGCCAGAAACGTCACCGGAAGTTGAAAACACTGTTGACATTCACAATGTTATGAATTACATTTGAATGATTAAGTCACAGCTTTCAAATTTTATGTACAACTCTGGAAGTAAACGTCTAAAAAATCTAAATCCAACTTGCTGTTTGGCCACTAGAAATAGTTAAAAAATTTCTCTTGATTTCTGCATGGACGCACATACATGTACGTCTTTGATTTCTGCTAGGATTTAAGTACTTAAAAATACTTTTATTGACTTGGTGTTGTACATTACGGAATAGGATTTTCGTGCGCTACCAAAGTGTATTTATTGTAAAAGCAAAACCTTGTTTTGCCAATCAGCTCCATGGAGTGATACTGGAATCGGTTTTGCACTTTAGGAGATAGTATATAGTGTTGTGAGTATGCAAATTGCTGTTTCGATTGACAATTTTTATGATTGAATAAACTAACGTATAAGTTTTTATTGACATTTTTAGGTACGGTAGACAATTTTATTCAAGCAATACGACATTTTCGATATTGAAAACTTGAATAAATGTTGATGTGATATCTATGACAAGCATGCGAGAATATCGCAGAATCGCGGCAGATTCGGAAACCATCCAGACTTTCAGATGCTTAACGTCTTAAACAACCTCTTGCTGCCCCGGGAAACCGTCAAGGATTGCTCCCTTGCATGCCTGGACTTAAGCTTACTCATGGACAAATTTGTTTTAGCACTAGGTTTTTTGGTCTCGTCCTATTTGGACATTTGGAATGAGACGATACCAGAGTAGTAGAATTCCAAGCTGCCAGTAAGCCTCCATTGACAGCATTTAGCTTTGCCCGAAATCTCCTCATTCAATCTCCTACAAGTGACGATTGTAAAGCTCTATGTTCAATTATTCTATCGCTGGCACCAAGAAGCATGAAGACTTGGACTACCTACCTGCCATTATTCTATCACTGGCACCAAGACGGGTGAAGACTTGGACTACCTACCTGCCATTATTCTATCACTGGCACCAAGAAGGATGAAGACTTGACTACCTACCTGCCATTATTCTATCGCTGGCACCAAGAAGGGTGAAGACTTGACAACCTACCTGCCATTATTCTATCGCTGGCACCAAGAAGGGTGAAGACTTGACTACCTACCTGCCATTATTCTATCGCTGGCACCAAGAAGGGTGAAGACTTGACAACCTACCTGCCATTATTCTATCGCTGGCACCAAGAAGGGTGAAGACTTGACTACCTACCTGCCATTATTCTATCACTGGCACCAAGACATGTGAAGACTTGGACTACCTACCTGCCATTATTCTATCGCTGGCACCAAGACGGGTGAAGACTCGGTCTACGGGGGTCAGCCTACACTTCTCGGCTGGGACATAACAGCCCTGGAACAAAAGAGGGTGAACTGTTGAAACTGTTGATAAGTAACTTATCCCTTTCATCCTGACCGATACAAAACATCTTAACGAAATCACACTGACATTACAGATCAAACCAATTCACACTGACATTACATTTCAAGGGACTGACAATGGTCTACTGCATTTATCTTCTGAGCCCTTAGAATAACATCTGCTTTATGTAATCATGCTTTTCATGGATGATTTGATCAAGTAACAACACTCAAAAGTCAAAAGGACACATATACCACGTGTTAAAAGGATGTACAAAGTTCCATGCAGATGTTGAGCTGTTACAGATTTGTTTCAGGGTGACTATGCATGCAACAATGGCAATGAGTGTGTTGTTTTAGGAGGCTAGCTATCTCACCAGTTGAGCCATGATAGTTATCAGCCCCACTTGTCTCATGAGTGTAGATTTGCCACCCATGTTGGGCCCTGTCACCAACACAATGCGACTGTTGGAGTACACACCACCCTCATCTGTCTCCTGCACAAAATGAAAACACCATTAACGTCACTGACACTTACTTCCTCATCAACATACATCCACATTTGTCTTTTTCCTTGATGCCATGTGTTTAAGAAGCTCGACAGACTCGGTTATCCTTCACCTACAATCACATGCAGAACATAGATCATGTAAAGACTTACATCATCCACACCTATGACCGTATCATTAGGTATGAAGTCTCCGCCAGTGAATGTCCGAGCGATACAGGGGTGACGAGCATCACGCAATTCCAGGAATGGCTGCAGAAGAAGTTAAGTAAAATCTAAATATTTTTACATTTGTATACTTCAGGGCTGTGAGCAGGTTTTCACAAGAAAATAGAGGAAAACTCAGGGGGGGTGGGAGAGTGAGTCAAATTTTTTGTAAACATTTGATTGTATTCAGTTGCGAGTGATTTGGTTGCATCTGCGAGCGAAATTTGAGAAATGCAACGAAATATTTTAACTTAACTCTTTAAACACTGTAAGCCGGTACACTGGCCAAGAAGCCTCGAGTCCCCTAGACACAGCAGGCCAGTAGACCAGTCAAGCCATAATCATGTCAAAATAATATATAATTTTAAGAGCCTACAGGTCATATCACTCATTTATCAAATCTCTAGCATTTCACAATGTATGAAATACATATTCCATTTCAATTTATCCTTTTATATCGCTAAATTAAAAAATATTCATTATTTGTAGCAAAGTCATTGAAGATAAAATTCTTGGACTTGAAGTTTGACAAACGGTCCACATTGGACATGTCAAAGAGCAAAATAAATATGTTTCAAGCAAATCTTTAAATATACTATACAAAGTAATATATAAAACCAACAAACATATGTCTAACAGTTGTCAAACTTACAACTAAGTTATTATTTTCATCTTTTTGTGCGATCGCATGTAATGTAAGTCAAATGACATCTCGGCTTTCGTCGCATCGAATTGTCGGCTCGGACACGATGTTTATGCCTTTTATAGAGATCACGATTTCCTGCTTAAAACGAATAAGCAGAATAACACGATTTAACAACAATCTTTCGTCAAAATCTGAAATTCAGCATACACAAGGACAGTACCATTGCTGTAATTTTATTGGCTGCCTTAGGTCACATGCTCAAATTTGACCAATCACAAACCTTGTAGCAGATTTTGGCAAGAAAACATCATTAGAAACCTATTGTTATCCAATATATTTGTATGTTACAGCAACGAAAATTCTCAGGGCGAGGTTACTGTCATGTAGATGAAAATAGGCTTTCTAATGGCATGTCACATGGCAGTCTTCGACGTACATGTTGTTCATACAAAGCTTTGAAAATGGGGGTATTTCTTCATGTTACTTAGCAGACAGACGCTGTTATTGAGAAATGGGTGACGACAGACATTATTTTTCATTCTTTTTAAAATAATTTACCGATTACGTAAACAATGAAAATAAAAAAGAAATGGGTAAGTGTATTTTATTAAGTGCTGCAAATAGTCAAATTTTCACTTCCTTGGTCAATAATCTGGATGTTATGAATGTGTAAGCTTACATTTATTTAATTTACAACAAAATTAATATAATTGTAAGTGCATTATTTAAATAATGTAATAAACATAGCTTTCATATGTTTGAACAGTAGGACGTGGCAGCTGGTGATTGACAGCCAAATGCAGTCGCGTCTCCGACGACTTGGTCCCCTTTCCCGCAACAGAGTATGCACATCACTGTGAGATGAGGTGAAATGGGGTTTAACGTCACGACACGTGCGTGTCTGCTTGTACTAGTCTGGACTAATGCCAATTTTAAAGTGCTTGCCCACTGAAATACCATGCCACACTTTAACACAAATACTGAATCTGATCCAACTATTCCTTGTTTTAGCCCTTTAATGTCGAGCCCAAGGCAGGGTAACCACAAGTTGCAACTTTTTTTTATGATACGACCGGGCAGACGCTCTACCACTAGACCACGGCAGCAGTCACTTTCATTACGTTTGATCATAGATCATGTTGACATTGTATTGTCCTCATCACATTTCATTTATCCTGACCTACCTCAACATTCTGTCCCAAGTCCACAAGCTCTGGGCGACAAGTGACGCCATCTCCACACCGAGAGTACTCAGCAAGGGAGATAATCACATCTAATACCGAGAGGCAGTCCAAAACATCACGCCATTTCTTGTGTCTGCAAACATAAACTTATATGTTTAATATGATAATAATTCACAAGAAAACACTATTGTCACTATCACCCAGTATTGGGCACATTAAATTAAATTGATTAAATGTTTGGTTTGGTTTGGTTTGGTTTGTTGTTTTACGCCGCACTCAGCAATATTCCAGCTATATGACGGCGGTCTGTAAATAATTGAGTCTGGACCAGACAATCTAGTGATTAATATCATGAGCATCGATCCACTCAATTGGGATCGATGACATGCATGAACCAAATCAGCGAGCCGTTAGTTGCCTTTTACGACAAGCATAGTCGCCTTTTACGGCAAGCATGGGTTGCTGAAGACCTATTCTACCCCGGAATCTACACACAAAAGGCCCCTTCTCTGGAAAACAAGTTATGGCACCAATTCTCTTAGATAAGCTAACTTCAGTTGTTTCTGAGAAAACTTGTCCCCATTGCAGACACTCTGAACTGAGTAAAATAACATGGATCAAGGGCCATAACTGTGTAAATCAAATCTAACATGTAGCAAGGGAAGTAACTCTGGTAAAAATAATAATATAGCACCAATGTTTGAACTCAGTCTTGACAAGTTTCTCCGCGATAAGCATGCAAACTGTTGTTCATGTAACGTCAGTAGTATCTGAGAAAGGTTGTACCCATTGCAGACTCTATGCACGAGGTTGAAGAGCATGGAGCAAGTGAATTTAAGACACCAATTTTTGAACTCATCATGACCAGTAATATCAGTAACAACTTAAATAGTTTTGATAAAACTTGTCAGCTTGTCAGCTGCTTCCATCTCAAGTCTGCTTTTTGTAGGACCAGCGCCACCGTCGTGTGACCAGATGTGATGTCACATCAAATCATGTTCCTGCTTGTTATCAAACAAGGTCTTCTGAAGCTGTACTGGGGAGGCAGGTCTGTGACAGGTGGGCCCTCTTGCAATAATGCAAGATAAGTATCAGACAGTATGGAGGAGGGTACACCTTCAGATGTCAGAAAAACCTCAATAAACAAAACCCTTGAAAAGACAAAAACTTGTCAAATAAACGTAAGGCGGAAAAAGCATTAAAACGCTGGTGCAGTAGGGCTGGTTCAATCTTATTTACAGACGGAACATAAGAATTGAGGAAAAATCAATGTACACAACTTGTAAGAATGGATGATAGCGTAACCTTAAGTCTTTACATACTTTGTTACTGAGCTGAAGCTGATAAAAAGCTTTGAAAACTCCTGTCACCTGGCGTGTCGTAGACAGTACAGCCTTGGCAAGCTAGATACATAGTGTTTATTCCTAATACAGGATATTTACCATCCCCAAATACACAAGCGTGATAACCTCTTTATCATATAATGTCATTCTTTAATTCTGTACTTGAAAATCGCTTTCCCTCTCTCACAAACATGACTGGCTCAGTCTCTGGTTATTACCTGATAACCTTTGCCATGGGGTGGAGTGTTGTCCACTGCCAACATTCTCACTCTCCACCATGTTTTACGTTTCAAATTTTCTGTTGTTCTTGGTCCCCATTGTGACAGTCCCAGCAATGCCGGCGCTTGCATCTAACGACTTCTCTATCTGATTAGCGCAGTCACAAGCCACGATCCAGTTGTCACCTTCGGGCGTCTCATTACAAGGCCCATATGCTGGATTGAATGGTAAACCGACTGGCGAGCAGTAGGCCCATCACCTGGTACTGGGTTCGATAGGGACACTATTCGATCCCACCCTTCGGCAATACCACTGGATACTGCGCTCAGGAATATGGGTAGGCGTTAGATACAAAAATTACCCAAATTGTTACATGCACAAGCATCTAAGACGCCCAAGTGTTGGAAAGACGATTTTCCCTTTCATGCCTTAGAAATGAAGTGGCTGTCCAGACCTGTATCTGGGTCCTACACCAAACTCAGATACACCACTTGGCTGTTCACTATGAACTGTGTGTGAAGTGGAGCTCGTACCTTGCCTCCGGCATATTGCGGGATTTGAGATTATTGCACAGGGTGATTGTAATATCACGGGTCAAGAACTCTTGTCTGTAAACACGGGAATATGGTCAACTTACATAAAGGGAGTGGTGCAGGTTTATTGTACCAGGTTGGTTGGCATGCTTACTGGAACGTAATGCTGCAACATGTCTAGACACCTGTCACTGTATATGAATGAGACAGAGTCACGATCTTCAACAGACCGCTGGTCTTCTTCAACAATGCATCCCACGATAGTCCAGGACTGGAATAGTACCATGCCGGGTCCAAGCCGTATTGTTTTAAACATGTCTTTCTAAATATCTCGAATATATCGGCGAGTAACAGTACCTCAGTTTTTAAGTACAGATCGTGATAATCACCTAAATTATTACAACCTAAGTTATCCCACACTGTCAGAGCGTGTTCATAATCGGCATCAGTTATTTTAGATTCTGTTAAGTTACTATAGAATGATTCAAGGGGCGGTAATTTAGTTTCATCGAATCTAGACCAATCATCCATATATTCGTAAGGATATACACCTTTTCTCAGCAACAAATGACGGCACCTATCGGTATTTTGATTTGTAATTGCAAAGTCATCGGGATTGTTCGCATTAGCTAAATTGTCCAGGGAAGATAACAGAAACTGTACGGAGTCTATGAATCTAAGCCCATTACTTTGCTTTATTCTGGCTTTCCCATCCTTGTCCGTATAATGTATAGTTTTAGTCAACGAGAATGATATGTATTTTTCCATATTATTAGGAATGCATGTTAAGCCGCCGTCGGTCTTTGAGATAGCTTGCATAATGAGATGAGAATCATATCCTCTAAGGTTATGAAACACAACGGGGATGGGTATTGTTTGAGAATTCATTTTTAGTTTCAAGTTACACTCGTTATGCGCGGCTCCCCGATAATTACCCGTGACGTGACAATGATCTCTTACGGAATCCCCATTCAGGGGTTTATTACAAACATGACAACTAGTCAACTTCTTATAGGCCCTCCAATCATCCCTCGTCATACACATTGGTTTCTTACTTTTATGGTTTAGGCATATCAATCTTGATAGCAGTCTGTCCAACACCTCTACAGTCTTCTTTATGCGCTTCTAATAGATCTTGTCTGCTGTACCCATGTAGGCATCTTTCGCAGAAATATTTCTTTTCCTTATGTTTTGTTTGATCGTATAATAGCCTATTTAAACTCTTCATCCACGTATAATGATATTTTCCATCTTTTTCAATCAGAAATGAATTGATTCTTGGAATATGTTCCGGAGCTGAGCTTATCCTGTGTACAACAATTCCTTTAGAAGAATGTCCGAAAACATTTATAGCTAAATTATTTTGGTTTTCCGCCTTATCAATTTGAGAGATTGGTGTAGGTTCGTCTATACCATCAAGGTTTAGTCCATTGTTTTGGGGATAGCTAGAAGGTCTATTTGCAATTTTAGAATCTACGGGGAACAATGCAGATCTATCATCACTCTGAAACAGTCATCGGATTTATTTTTTACATTAATTATGGCTTTTTTCTTTTTATAATACGGGGGTAAATCTATATAAGATCCACCTTTGAAAGGCATATAATTTGCTATATCTAAATATAAACTATCGATTTTATCCACACCCCAACCCAAACCTCTATTAGTCCAACGTTCTAAATTTTCCTGTATCCTCTGAATTGATGTATCTAATGATGCGTTTATAGTATCGGATTCGGTTATAACTTCTTGATTGCTACGGAAATATGGTTCGGTATATTCGGTGCTATCGTCTGCGCTACTTTTACTCAATGACATTTTAACCATCAGCTAGTATTTTATATTATTTAAATCATCTAATTCCTCATTAATTTTGCCTGATACTTTGGGCTTAACATCATTAACATCCATGTTGGAATTAATATCCATCTTCCAACCTCTTAGATATTTACAAATGCCGGCTGTGGGTACAAAGTTTAACTCATTATTATCAACAACTGGTTGATTATTTTTATCAATGGGTTGATTATTATCTAGTAAAGCGATCAATTCAGCTTTTCTCATTCGAGAATAACCTCTCAGCCCACTTTCTTTCGCTTGAGCTTTGAGTTCTCTAACAGTCTGGGGTTTGTTGTATTCCAAACCGAGTAAATCGATCAATTCAGTTTTTCTCATTCGAGAATATCCACGAAGACCATGTTGCTTTGGCAAAGCTTTCAGCGAGCTGACAACATAAGTCATTGTGATATATAACTACATGTGGACTAATCTCTAATTGGTTTGAATTCTACCCAATCTGTTTATCTCATTTTGGTAAGCCTTTTTCCTCTCATAAATAATTTGAAACCGTTTCTTGTCAGCACCGTGACTCTTACATAAACAGTAACTACCTTTGACCCCAATCCCACATACAGAACACGAATAATTAATATACCCTTTTCTAATTGCAATGGAATGGATTCCACAAAAATCAGTCATACAGCTTTTTCCACAAATTTGTGATTGGCCCATGTGTATGAATTTACATCTTGATGTGCCTCTCGCCATTGTGATAAATATACACTTCTAGTATCATTTGTCTAAATGCGAGCCGTCAGCGCTACATAGATTAGCGGTCATGGTTTATGTGTAGTTATTGTGTAGCTAAAAATAGCAATGACTGATAACCCAAACACTATAAATGCCAACCCGGGTCTTTCCGAGCCTCTGACGGTGTATAAAACTGACTTATTGTTGGTTTTGGCATTGGGTCAAGTTTCTTTCCATAAACGAGGTAGTATTCTTGCATGGCAGATTCAACGTTTGAATTGAATGCCCTTTCTTACGCAGTTCTTCATTAATAAAATCTAATCTTAATATCCTATTCCTGGCCCATTGTGACTGGGCTGCTTCGAGTTGTTCTAATGTTTTATTATGTCTTTTCTGCTCAGAACCTCTCATACTAGAAAATAAAAAATTACTCCCCGAAAAAGCTAGAGCTAGAGCTAGCTCCACTTGTTGTGATTGTGTTTCCACAATCTGTTGTGGTATTTCCTCGT